AAGAGAAGGCTAACCTTTGCCTCAGTTCATATTATAAAAAAATATTATCAATAAGTATTGCTTGCCTTTGATGGTGCTCAGTGCTTCAAGTCAAACTTCTTTTCCAGTTACTTAAATATTATTTGAAAACTGAATTTTTTTTTCAGCTAATAGGAGTCCAAGATACCTATTTTTCTGAAAGACTTGTCCAGAAGCATAATTCATAGAATCATAGAATGGTTTAGGTTGGAAGGGACCTTGAAGACCATCGAGTTCCACCCCCCCTGCCGTGGGCAGGGACACGTCCCACTAGACCAGGTTGCCCAAGGCCACATCCAGCCTGGCCTTGAACACCTCCAGGGATGGGGCCTCAACAACTTCTCTGGTCAACCTGAAACCGTTTTCCTGTTTCATGGAAACAAGATTTTTCCTCACATAAATAAACCCTAAACTATATTTTTTTCACAAATAAACTATATTTGTCTTGCTATTTTGTGAACAAAATCAAACTGCTCTGCAAGCCTGTCCCTCACTGGCATACTGACTGTTTCAGTGGAATTAATTCCCCTGTGTGCTTTTATCAGATTTGTTCACTTTGTTCCTGAACATGAGGTTCAGTTCAAAACAACAGAAACAGAGGAGGAGCTTTTCTTCTTTGGTTTTGCAGTAAGTGACTAGGAAATGTTTTGTTGCCACAGGCATGTGAAGTTCTGTGGGCCCTTCCAAATGAAACATTGATTGTAGCATTGCTTGTGATTTTCAAGGGACTGGATTTTTCCTTCCAGGCTTATTAGCTTCTGGTAGGATCCAAGATGAACTCATTTCTCCTAAAGTTAAGGTACAGTTCTGCCTCCCAAACCCTTGTAATTTAAAGCTGGGCAGATGAACAGAAGTCCCAAAATCTGAGAAAAGTGTTCACTGTTATACATTAATATATCAGCGTAGAGTTTCAGGAGTGACTTCATTACAATACAGTGAAAGCTTCACAAATCATGGCTTAAAGAATCTGTTCAAAGGTCAACATAGGGAAATATATGGAGACATCAGTACTTGCTTGGAGACTGCACAACAGCTAAAATGCAAGCCAAATTTACAGCCAATTAGGAGGTAACGTGTGGAGATTTACCCATCTACTGACACGCAACAAATGCTGGCAGACTTAAAAAAGAAAGTCTTCCTGGAATCTTTTTTATTTAGGAATATTTTGTGCTCTTCCTGAATCTGCTTCCCCAGAAAGGAAATATTTTCAAAAGAATGCTCCATTTAATTGTAACTAGTGCAAAGTGAAAAAAAACCCAGTTTTTATATGTGTCTTTTGAATTTTGTATTTACTCTTTTACATAACCCTTAGGCTCAGCTTGAGATCTAATATTGTGATACAGATTTCAGCTGTATTGCAAATGTGTAGGATCTGCATTTCTTAAAAATTTACACAGAGAACATGGCAAGTTCTGTTGTCCTGAACATATTAAAAATGGAGAACAACAGACAGTTCTCATAATTTACAACCTTGCTATCTCTGTGCTTTGTCTTAGATCCTCTTATGTAGCAGCTTTTTCTCAATCTTGCTGCTGTCTGTGTTCTAGACATAGAGTCTAACTAACAGCCATCAAGTTTCTACCACCCGTTTAAAGATGTAACCTCAAACCATAAGTTTAGGTGTTGCTCAGGCATCATGACATGAACAAATGCTTTGGGATGTTGTTCTGAGTGTATCCACAGACAAGACCAGGTAGGCTACAAAGAATAGACAGTTAATTCCTGGTAACATCAGGTGGGAACCTGTTCTGTACAGTGCTTGGATCTCATGGCAATCTGAGATCTAATGTCAGTAACTGCAGAAATACTTTCAAGTCAAAGAAAACGATGTGGGATAAAACCTGCCAAAAATTTGCTGGCTAAGTGTTGACTCCTTGTTTTAACAAGATAGATGGAAAAAAAAAAGTCACTGGGCCATAACCTACGTAACCATGGCTGCTCTGTGTTTTGAAGGTAAATGGTGGCTGGAGGCTTGGGGATGGTGCTGGGAGAGACAGTGGGACAGCCTGGGAAAGAGGGGACAGATGCTGGGTTAATGGAGGACAGTGTGCTCTGTCCTTGAAGAAGGGCCAAAAGGAAGAGGATCAAAGGTGTGCTTGTGGGATGGACGTTGTATCTTAAATTATCTCAGGTTCCCTTAGGGTCTTAGGTTAAAGGTGAGGCTGAGGCATGGGTAAAGAAAAGGAGGGAGTGAGCTCATCTGCTTGGTGGGCAGTTTGTGTCCCACACAGGCTGTCTGAGGGCCCCTGGTGTAGGTCTGGGACCATGGCAGTAGAGTGCCACTACTCCCAGCCATTTCTTGAGGCTGCAGCATAGGCAGGGCAGTGGGGAAACCCATAAGTCAGGCTGGATGTCTGGGATGAGGGTGGTAATGGTGCCTTGTCCAATGCCTTTGCCTCTGGCCACTCTCCCCTTGGCATGGCCTGGGGTCAGGCTTCATGGTGAGGTAGGAACCCAGGTTCTTGTTGCAAAGCAAAGTGCTGGCAGTGCAGGCAAAGCTGGGCTCTGGCTCCTAGGGTCTGTGAGCACCTGCTCCTCCTCCTCTTTCCCCTGGACCTGGGGATGCTGCGAGGAAGGTTGGCATCGGCTGGTTCCTGACAGTCTTGTGTAGGTGAGGGCAGTCAGAAGAGGGCTGAAGGCAGCCAGGTTCAAGTTGCCCCATTTCCTTCAGGTCAAGCCACGCTTGTCTCAGGACTAGTACCCTGAGCTGCCACATGCTGGTGTGGCAGAAGAAAGCAGTAGCTGGTGGCCCCATCTGAGGCCTGCTGTAGTGATGGCCTTGCCCACCTCCAGCCTGAGCACTCACATTTGTGTCTCTCCTCACCCTAACTGTCAGTGTCTCCACAAGACAAGGAGTCCTTTGCAAAGGGCTTTATACAGAATTTAAATGATAGGTTTTATGGCTGAATTTTGGATTTTGCCATGAGTCTGTCTTGAACGTTCCTCTTTGCAGTGCTAAATGTATAGTGTTTTCTTTAATGATTACTTCTCCATATTTAGAAGTATGAGGTTAATTTTTTATTTTACATATTTTTTTATTAAAATTTACATTTGGAGCGCTCAGTCTGTACATGGAGACTTTGCATCTGTAGAGCTAGAGTGCACTTCCTTACAAGATGCAGTGACCTCTAACATGGTGGAGGCTACTTAGCTCTCTTAACTATGTCTGTTTTAGGAAAGCGGATGGAAAACAAAGTTTTGAGGGAAGGTGCATTTAGTAGATATTTCACATGTGCAGTGTTAACATAAGGGCTGCCTAAATCACAATTTTCTGTCCAATTTTTTTATCATTTTGAAGCTCATCAGCTGTGTGCACAGGGTATTATGGTACTGTAGGTCTTTTGTTTTGCCTTGACTTTAATGTTGTACAATTTTTTCTTTTTTTGTTCTTTTTTCTTTTCAGTTCTAACAGTCATTTCTTGCTGTGCAACTTTACATTTGTTCCACTTTTGATGGAAAAGAAAAAATTCTTATTAACATAAAATGTGTGATTATATCTGAACTCCCTTCTGAACTTCCATTTTATAGATAAACTTTTTTTTTGGTAATAAATATATAGGTTTGAAAATTTTTCATTTTAATATCTCTTTTCTCATTTATTTTCTTTGCTAAGTTCTATAGCGGCTTTCAGGTTTATTGTACCTTCCTTATAGCTTTATCTGTAAGCCTAAATCTACCTGAATATGTATGGTTTGGTCCATATTCCATATATCTTGAAAGTCCTGTTTTTCTTAGTGTTCTATCAGAGTAAGTTATCCTATTTGTCTATGAATTCTAATTTTATCTTTTCCTCTCCTTCTTGTTCTAGCCATGCCTTGGTTTTCTCAGTTTCATGGTTGTCTCTTACTAAATATTCTCTCTCTGGCACAGCTGAACAACTCCACTGAATAATTGTGAGGTTAATTCCTCACCATATGCTCCAGACTGCTTCGGGATGTTTTGCTGTTGAAAACTATTTTGCCTTAAAGTTTTGTGAGTTTTGTATTATTTTGGCAGGGACAATTCAAAATTTTCTCACTAGGATTTTGTATATTACAAACTGATTTGTAGCATCCTTCCAGACCAGCTAGCTGATTCCTTATCCAGGTGACTGACTTCTGTGGAGGTCTTCGAATTTTTTTCTCTGGTATTTTATTTTTTTAATTCTTTGTTGTGGCATGTTTAGAAAGTCATGGCCGAATCGCAGTTCTTTTACTGTCTGTGAAGCTTCTTATTTTATTAAATCAAACTGTCCCAGCAACTTCTAATGGGGAGCTAGCAAGCCTAGCAATTCCCTTTGCTAGTCCAGACCTGGCTTTAGGGTTTTAAAATTCAAAACCTGTCTCTGCTGCCACAACAACTTTATGTTGGAAAAACCTCCTCAGTTGCTAAAAATAGCTTTTAAATCAAAATATGTTTCTCTCTTGGACTCACACTCCAAAAATTATTTTTGAAACTTAGAGAACACTAATTGCATGATTAAGGAGACTAGATGTTAAAGAACAGCCACTTTTCCAGGAAAATACAATTATTGTTGTCCATAGTTTCTACTAAATCATAAACTTTTATATAAATGTGCAGTTTAGAAACCAGTGTTCATTTCATTGCAATTTAAACAACAGAATTTTAAAGTAGTATACACCCTGAATTGAAATTACTGACATAAAAATGAGTTGGCATAAACTCATCCCTGGGGTAATGTAATACTTGCTGAAGAAGATTTATATTTGAAGTTTTCTGAAATGACAAAATACAGTTGAGATACAGTTATTTTTTTTACTTGCATGAAAATTGTCAGCAGAATTAGCTTAATCAGTAATATTTCTGGAGGTCTTGTTAGCAAAGATTCGTGTGCATACTTAGTTTTATGCATTCTTTGGTGGCCATTTGAAAATCACTGGCAGTATCGTACAAGCATAGTATTACTTTGGGCATAATTATCAGTATTTTTAATGCTGCAAACTGATGTTGCGCAGCACCCCGTAGGTGTGCTTCTACAATCTTCATTTTTCATGAAGTGCTTACCAGTGCCAGTTCGACCTGGCACAGCAGAACATCTTCTTAAATGTACTCCGTAATTCTGGGCTTCGGAATGCAAAAATCATAGGATCGATGATCGCATTGCACATTATGAGCGTCCCATTCACATGGAAAATGGACATGTAGCAGGCACAGTAGGGGTTATGTGGGCAAAACCTTGCTAACAGGATGTGAAGAACAAAGGGGGCCCAACAGCAAAGGAAAACTCCAAGGAAAATAGTCAGTGTAATGGCTCCTTTCATGTTAGTTCTCTGGTGGACTGTGCTGGTTGGCAGTGAGGCGATCTTTTTAGCATGAGATCGAGCCAGGAGGAACATATGGACATAGAGGCACAGTATGAAAAACATCATTAAAGGGAACAGGATGGTGAAGGGAATGACTGTTGCTGCTTCATAGGAGAAGAGGGCAATGGCAATGCTACTGCCAGCACAGAATGTCCAAATGATTGCCAAAATAACCAAGGCCCTTCTTAGTGTCATGATATTATGGTACCGCAAAGCGTAAAAGATAGTGATGTATCTGTCTGCTGCAATAGCTAACAAGCTGAAAATCGACCCCAGCAAAGACAGAATGAACATGGAATCCATGGCATCATCCAGCTTTTTCTCAAAGTCCCCGCGACGTGTCAGGTACCCCATTTTGCACAAGATGATAAAGATGTTCTCCAGAGTTTTGTACAGGCTACCTAACATGTCTGAAATGGCTAAACTGCAAATGAAGAAGTACATGGGCAAGTGCAAATTCTTATTTCTAATGACAGCAATAAGAACAAGCAGGTTTTCCAGTATTCCAGCAGCAGCAACAGTGAAAAAAACTTCCTCTGGCACCACGACCTGGGTGCAGTCAGTGACATTTAAGGAGAAATCACTTATATTTTCGAGGGAAGGAATGCTTGTCTGCCCTGGGTGTTTGATTAGGTTGGAAGGTCTCTCAGTGCTCATTTCTTCTGACCGTGGAAAGAATCTGGATTGTCGTTTCTCAGGCTTGGCCTTATTCTAAAGCTGACCTGTCAGTCAGACCATTCTTCTTTTGATGGATGTTTTCTCCCTCATCTGGAGCAATTTTAAGACTTAATTGAAATGTTTTGATTTTCTCCTACAATAAAACATGTAGAAACATAAATATCAAGAAGAAATTTACCACAAAGATATGGCAAAAATAGACATTTGAAATATCACCTATTGCAATGGAACGAACATCTATCATCATGAGAGAGAGGCAAACTTTGTTTGGATAAAATAAGAGCTCCTCCAGGCTTCACTGAACCTTAGAGGAAAACAAAGTGTAAATTCTCTTCCAACTTCAAAGCAGTTTTAAAAAATATATGTAGTTTTCTTTACCAATGAGCATTCCACGTTTACTGGAACTGATCTGACAGACTTCAAGAGTTTGGCGATCTTCACTGGCCCAGCTGTTTGCTTTGAGAAAGTCTGGCATTTCTCACAAGATTTGCAGTATTATTAGACACAAATGAGACCAGTGCCAAGATAAACTGTTGTCCAGGACAGTAACGTGTTTACCACCACACTGTTGATGGTGAAATAAGATGTCGTCAGTTTAGATGTGAACATTTGCAAATACCGATATTTTTCTGAGGCATCTTAGATACTAGTGAGAGGCTTCCTTTTCATGTAAATTGAAACTGTCTTTTGATTTGATGAACGTATTTCAAGTGCAGATTAAGATCCAAAGTATAATATTTTCTTGGCTGTATTTTACAACTATCTAAAAACTCAAATGTTTATTTCTGCATCAAGACAATGTTCTTCTTTCTCCATAATGATCCTGATCTAAACTATATCAAATCATGTAGGAATCTTTCCAAAGGATCGGGCTTTTTAGGCTTTTCATTAATGTATAAATGGAGGTGATATTAATTTAGCTTGGATGTTACACATAAACAATAAGGCCCACTTTTTCTTACATTTTTTATAACCCCATTTGTGAAACAGATGCAGTTGCTATTTGAAAAGTCCCCCTTTTTAAAGAACTGATATATTCTCCCTGTTTTTAAATTCAAAACAGCTTTTAATTGTTTGGCACTTCCAGGCCAGTAAGTCTTGAAATTCCTTTGGACATTTATTCATAGCCAGGTTGCCGAATGCCATTACCATTTCAAAAGAAGTTGATTTTTTAATTACTTTGTATAAAAACAATGCCCTCTGCAAGTGTCAGTGGGTATCTGTAATCAGCACAGCTGAACTACTGTTTGGGTATGATTAGCCTTAATGCAGATGAATGTGTTTGGCTACTTTTCAATGGAAAACAGGTTTCTGCCTTGGCTTTCTAATGTTATCTATCTGCTGAGATTGCCAGTAAGGTGCTACTTGTGGTGAAGAATGCTGAGACTTGGACCACCAGCCATCATGTACTTAATTGAAACAAGCTCACTTAAGATAAAGCACTCAAGAGTACCCATACTTATCTGAAAACAAACTTAAGGAGCACCAAGAGGCAGGAGGGGAGCAGCACAGGCCCTTTGGGGACTAATGAGCTGTTTTGGGGACTAATGAGCCAGCCCTGGGCAGGTTAAATAGCAGATGGTTTCAGAGGGGTTGCCCCAGAAGAGGAACCCCAGTGGGGTTTAGGGAACATGAAGGGCAGCTGCCAGGGTGTTTGTTAATGCCTGGCCTTGCTTGTTAGCCAGGGTAGCTCCCCCAGGGGCTGGGGAGCCTTTTAGGGTGCAGGGGGCCACTTTTGGGGTGAAAGGGGCTACTTTTGGTGTGCTCCTCCACCCCTCCCCAACCCCCCTTTCTTCCCCCCAGCTCATCTGCCCCTTCATTTGCAGTGCGGACCCCAGCTGGGAGCTCCTTGGCCATATAGTCGAATAAATGAACCGTATTGCACTGCAGCATCCATGGACATTCCCAAAGGCAATTAGATCAATGTCTGTCAGTATGTGAAGGAAGGAGGAACTAACAAGAAGAAGAGACTCAGCAATGTCTTTGTAATGATATGTTTTTCCTATTCTCACCTAGAGCTCCTGCCACAGTTAAGTTTTATGATTTCTAATCTAGCAATCTGTTTAACAACTTAGTTTTCACTCTTAAGAGAAGGTCGACACAGACGCTTCAGGCAAAGCCTCATTTCAATAGGATTTAAACAGGAAAATGAGTTGGCAAAAATGCATTTGTTAAGTCACTGTTCTCTCAGGACTGTTTCAGTAATGCATCTTTGCTGATATAGTCATATTGCTGAACTAATCTGTGTAATAAACATGAAGGTTCCTTCACTAAAAAAATAGAATATTATGAATGGCGTGATATATTACATTTGCTGCTTCTAATTTTACAGTAATGTCATATTAAGTACAGCATTTGGTTAAAGCAGAGAGCTTGTAAGGGCTTTAAAGCAGTTGCGGTAAGCGGAATGATTACATTGTACCAGTTAATGTTGTTTTCAAACAATTAATAGAAAGCCAGAAAAAGACATTCTTATTTCAGAGATTCTCATTTCAGCATGTATACATGGCTATTGCACACTGTTTTATTAGGGTTCCGTCAAGGATGTTGCCAATTATCTCCTTTTCTGATGCTTCAGTGTGGTGCACAGATATATTCTGTCTCAGACCTCCCAGACAGAAATATCTGTGTATACAGTGTTGTAGACAGGTGGTAAATCCAACGCTTGATCTATGCAATACATATTATATCATACAACTGCAGTAAACCCCACATTTTCAGGTTTCTGCTACGCATCTACCAGGTAGTGTGCATGAAGTAGTTCAACACTTCTAAGGAGTGTAGGACAGATAGACTACCCATGGGACGTAAAGCTGTTGTGAACATTACAAGTAACCTCAGTGTGTCCTAAAAGCTAATGGAAAAAGAAGACACCTTGGAGCTTGGATGCGTATTTCCACTGGCTACAGAAATTAGAGCCAAGGTCATTTCACACAAAGCTATAAATAATCATCAGGTGAAAAAAATGTTTACCCTCCTGTGTTGTTTGCACTACCAGAGACAGCTTGGATGCAACAGATTTCCTCTTCACTGTCAATACGTTGCCTGTTTGCTTCATCATTGTATTGTCCAGATAAAGGGTTCATGCCACTCACCAACACCACCCTCTGAAAGACCTCAGATTTATCTTTCCCAGGTATCTGCAAAGTCAGCCTTTTCACAGCTACTTTTAATGTGTCGGAATTGTTAAAAATAGAACACAACAATTTAAGAATAAAAAAGTGCCTTGTACCACAATCATTTTTTCCCAGCAACGGCTGAACTATTTGGATTTTAACTTTCTTGAGGTCATTCACAGTCTCAGAATAAGTTTGCCTGACCGCAGTAAGAAATGTAAAACAGTCAAAAAGCAATAAATGACAAAAAAGACCCCTTAAGTTTGAAGCACATTTGCAAACGTAGCTGTATCACAAAAACCGCAAAAATCTCAACCCATTCTTTTTCATGTTTACATTAGGTCCTGGAGGGAGAAATCAACAGCTCAGTAACATTGGATATTCAGAAACATTATTTATCCAGAAAGAGACAGTCTCTTGAGCTGGTATAATGGACAATGAGCTGATAGCAATAGTGAAGTTACTAAAAATGCATACGTTCGTTTGTAATATTATCAGCAATTTGTATTTGATTTGTAGTTATCTAAAGCAAGATGAAGCAGGAAACTGCAAGACTGGAAGCCAGGACCAAGAACTATGCTGATGATATTGTTCAAACTTAGGAAAAAAATAGAATTCAGATTACCTGTCCACTGTATTCATTTGCCATGATTATGGTTTGGCTATTTACAAGACTGACACTTTGAAAACATGTTTGCACAAGTATGTTACGCAGCTAAAAGCCAGCTGCAGTACTTCAGCTTGTGCCAAAGATGAGAATGCCTCCATGGATGCTGGGAGCATAATTCTCTCCTGTCTGCCCAAGGTCTATTGATTACAAAAATTCAATTTTCTCTACAGTAGAAATGCAATGACTTAGCACCTGAAAGGTCGGGGAGTAATAGGCCTGCACTTGATTTTTATCTTTTTTTTATTGGATGAAAACTTATTCTTTAAATAAATAAACAACACACTTCCTTCAATCCCAAAATGTTAAATAAACAAGCCTGGTCAGCTGTAATAGCAACAAAAGTAATTTCAGATGTGAACTATAATGATAAGATATAGTAAAGGAATTATGTACCTTAAACACTGCATAATTTCCCAGGTTTTTTTTTTGCATCTACTAATTTTTTACTAGAAAACCATACCTCCCTTTATTGGAGAGACCCCAAGCTGTATTTGCTCTCTAAACAGCTGGCAGTAAATAAAAACTGAAAGGGTATTGAGTAGTGTCTTCTGCTTCTGGACTGCACAGCTGAGATAACTAGCCAATTATGTAGATGCAATGATTCGTTTCTAGAACCATGAAATGTATTAATTCTTTGTCCTTCTATGTATATATAAATTTTAAAAAAGTAGTTTATTAGGAATGAAAAAGAACAAAAGTTTTGTGTTTCAGACACAGTATATACAGTATACTTCACAATCCAGTCAGTATATACAGAAGTACTTATTTGTCACTTAAAATACCATGAACTTTTCTCAATCCAAAATAATGTCCAATGTTAACAAATGCCTTCCGGTGTCATTACCTCTAGCATTTCACCCCCAAAGCTATGCAGTGTATAAACCTTCATTGGTTTAAATAAAGGTACCTTGGGCATCGGGGCACCTGGTGATCCATCCAGCTTGGTTCTCCTTCTAAGACTTGGTCATAGCAGAACGTTAGTCCCTTGTGGAGATGGTTGGACAAGCTGTGTGTGACTGGTTACACTGCCTGGTGCTGCTTAGGATGACCTTGTTTTTCTGAAAATGAGAGCAAATGTCCCATGGATGGGAGCGATATACTTTTTCAGTCACTTCCATTCAAGCTGTTAGAATTTTGTAACAAAAAACAGACAGAAAACTACGGACAATTACCTTTCCTCTTGTTTCCAGCTT